GATATTGAATCCTTATTTCGGTGCTTCAGTAAACACAACAGTTTGCATTTAGTATCATATTACAATTTCTTTTGAAACAGAGCATGTAAAGCCAGTATGAACAAGTCAGGAAATGTCTTGTGCAGATGAGGCAGGGGTGTATTTCTTTAGTAAACAAACTTTGCCAGATCAGATGTGATGCAGATCGCTTTGGTTTCTGCACTGACTGATCTAAATTATGACTAAGATGAGCCTATTTAGAATTAAGTTTGATGTTGTGATTACCTTGAAATATATTACCTGAATCCTAATTTATATGGCTTTTGAATGCTCTTCTGCACTTTATGTAATTTGTTACAGTCATTGCTTCGACACATATATATTATTAGTTAACAAGACACCTGACAGAATAGCTTCTTGATACTTAATTGCTTTATGTTAATGCATTATTGATGAACTAATTGAGCCTCCTTCAGCGGTTCTGTTAATGTGAATGTGATAAATCTGCTTTCTATCACAAACAATACCCAAAGTGTGTCACTTATGTAAGTCTAAAACATTATATTACTTTAATTTCCATAATACTCACCACTGTACACTTTCAATTATTATATTAGATTGAAAATTCTCTTTCCATCTTTACCATCATATGGGAGGCTCCTAAGGCTAAAAACTCTTAATTTCTAAAAGAGTAATCGTTTGCTAAGCATATTTTACAGCACAGTGTTTGAGGGATCTCAGTCTTTTCTAGTGAATGTTTTTTTTAGTGAAGGTCCTTTGTTTTTTAAAGCTTTTAATGTGGTTAAATTTAAAGTCCTGTGTAAGAAAACTTCAGAAAACAAAAAAATATTGATAATTTTGAACATTGTAAATGATATGTAAATGGTTTGTTTCAGGATGTTTTGGATAATATTTCTTCCATGTCTGGATGAAAATATAACCATTGTGTAGCTTACTGTGGGTTTATTAAACTGTGGTTAAATTCCTTCTAAAACAGCTAAAAAGGAATACAAAGGAATTTTGTCTGAAACGTCCTGAAACAAAATTATTTTTAATAATCCAGACCATCCTATCTTTGCCAAAAATGAAGACGACAAATGTTAAATAACCACGGAATAAGGGCCTTCAAATGATAACCTTAATAGAAAATAACATTTTGCACAGACATACATTTGCTGTTTTCAGTCTCTCAGGTGTGAAGCAGCCATCATATGATGACTTGGTGTCCCTGCAGAGATGATTGTAATACTGGGACAAGGTCATATTTTATGAAGCAAAACTGTACTGTTCAGATTCATTTAGATAGTGCATTCATATGTATGCCAATGGAAATTTGTATTGGAATTGTTTTGTTTAGACAATTGTCCAGTCTCTTTTTCTATATATATCTGGAAAATAATGCATTACTAAATATGCTGATGGATCCTAAATATTTGGAAACATTCATATCATAATGCTTTATAGAATAGTATAATATAGCATTATTGTCAAGAGATACTTTTGATTACAAACCCTTAATGATTTTGATTTTCAAAAGAAGTCTTCTCTAGGGTCTCCTCTTGCATACTGTTCTTTATACATTATCACTTCAAGACCCTAAGAAATTGAATTTACATTCATTCAGTTGGGTTTAATGAACATGTACAGTATTAAGAAATGTTATGCAATGTCACTGTTCTATTTTGAGGAAAACAGCATTGTTTTAATTCAAATATATGAGATACAATTATCTTAAATCTCAAACTATAACATATTAGTTATTTTAACTTATTAGCAATAGATGCTGTCTAACTGATTTTGCAGGAAACGAGTTTTCTACAGAAACTCTTCTTGTCTCCCTGGAATTCCCTGAGGAGTGATACACACTGTAACCATGAGCAACCCAATATTATTCAAGCTTTTCTCCTTTTAAGTTTTAATTTAAGTGAAATGCAAGTGTGCAGGTCTTTTCCTACTTTGAGTTTGTTTGTTAGTTATTTTAGTGTAACATATTCTAAAATATAAAGCTGACAATTTCATTTTTGTTATGTCAGCATGCAAGCTGGAATTATATTTCAGCCTGGAATTAACCCTTTACTTGTTCCTAAATGTTTTAATATACAGTATTGCACTGTAGTGCATTTTAAGAACAGCTTCTGCCTCCACACATCTACCAGTGATTAAAATTAAATATAGACATTTCAGAAGTTTTCTGTGTTGTAGAGAGGCACAAATGGATATATTTTAAAGTACAAAATGGAAGTTAAAATGTGATCGATATGGAAAGAAATGCATACATTCTTTTTTTTTAAATGTCCTGAGTATGTCTGTTATTAGGTCTGTTGCCAACATTGCCAATTGATACAGGCTCATGGAGAAATGGAAATCATGGAGAAAAGCTGGGGTATGCAAAAAGACAAATTCCTAATGCAAGAAGTTGTACAGGGCTAATAAAGAAACATTATCACATTATCACTTACATAAACACTGCACTGTAAAACAGAGTGTGGATGAAACAAAGCCCTTGTGAGGGTGTGTCTGCTGAAATATACATTATTACATCACTAGCTCGTAACAGTTCCTTGGGTTTGTATCAAAGAGCACCATATACCAGTATTTGTTTTATTTCTTTAATAAAAAAGCAATAATTAATAATTCATCAAAATAAACACATTTTAATAATTAGCAGTTATGTCCAAGTGTGAGACACTCGAGGATATCTGAAATTAGATTTCACTCTTCACAGCAAAGAGGACAAAAGGCTTTGAGTGTTTCATTTGTTTTCAGAATATCACAGAAGAAAAAAACATTTAATTTGAAAAAAAACAACCTTCAGTTTGACCCTTAGGTTCTTAAAATAACAGTCAAGCGTTCATCCACAGGAAATTAAAAAACTAAAGATGACAGAATTACCTTTTATAGTGACTACAATGTCTTGATTTTGTTATTGTTCTTATTTGTTGTGCCCTTGTATGTGTATACTACAGTATGCATTGAGTCATAAATTAAAAACTCAAAACTGTTTGCTGCATGTCTGACAACTGTTTCTTTTTACTTAATGATGGACTTTCTTGAACAAAATGCTCCATTAACAATTAATAACTCAGGTCCTTTGAAAAACCCTCATGGGTAACTCTTTCTGGGATCCCTGACATCCCACTTGTGTGTACCTGCAAATGTTCGCAGTGATAAATTGCAGTTTTTTCTTTTTTTTTTGGTACTATTTGACCTGCCCGCAGTCACTCACTCAATTAAAGTAATCCGTTTGCATGTAAAAAGTAGCATATCTTTCCTTGCTTTAAAAGGCCTAGAACATATAAATTGAAATATAAGATAAAGTATTCTGGAAGTAGTGACAGTAAGCTTCTTTAATCAGTGGATTCAAAAGAACTACCAGGGGCAAAAATGTAACAGTTCCTGTGTTCATTAGAATGAAATAAAGGCTTTTCTGAATTCAAGGAAAATCGTTATAAGCTGTGACTGACCCATTTAGTTTTTACCATGAGAGCAGCTCAAAATTGCTAAAAATGATAAGTAAAATGAAATGCCACTCCAGTTATAGTACAACAAACAAAAACAACAAATGTTTTCATAGACACCTATAATCTGCAGAGCACAACAGTGGTTAATATATTAATCATGTTGTATATAATATTTGATTAATGAGTTCACACAATGAAGCACAGATAGCCTTAATATAAAATGAACAGTCCATCCAATTGAACAGCACACTGAAAGGCTTGCATTAAAAAGACATTCAATACAAGACAAAATGATCAGTTATAATAGAATAATAGGGTACAATGCTTTTGTCAGACCAAGGAAAACGTACTCAATGCACAAGAAGTCTGATTCATAAAGAACTTCTCAGGTCTGTTTTCCAGTCAGCCTCTGTTTTTTTGTACATTCTTAAGATCCAGTCTGCCTTGGCATTCTGTACAGATAATAGATCTATATTCATCTGGGATTTTAAAAGACCCCAATCACACCCTGACAGTTTTCTAATGGAATTCTGATGGCATGTCCCTCTCCTGGTATTGAAATCATTACTGATTTCGTCTTTTGATATTAATCAGTCATCTTTCATTGCTTTTAATGGGAGGCCTTTGAAAATCTTGGTACAAAGTGATTTGCCATCTGGCGAAATAGGATTCTTATCGTCAGCTAATTTTTTCACCTTGAGAGACCGCAAGAAATGATAGAATGTGTTGTTTAATTTTCATTGCCACAATGCTTTTATGATCCTAGAAAATTACCCTAAAAAGTGGTGATCAGGTGTGTGCTTTCTTAGTTCCAACTGTCATTCATTAGAAATGATTAAATTCGCCGAAAAAAATAATGTAAACTTTGATTACAGTACCTTTTCACGGCTACACAACATTGTGCAATCAATGGCAATTGCAGTGAATGAGAGGGTACTGAAATGCCTCATTCTTTTCCATGTAATTAATCCGTGTTTTTATAATGAGGTGTTGTGCTGCTGTAAATGTTTGTCACAGAAAATCCACAGAAAGTGCCTTCATTAGGATGTAGAATGTTAAGTTTAATTGAGGCTCCCTGGCTTCTGACACATGAGGAGCTGAAGTGGCTCTAAGGAAAGCATTTCGGATCTTCCTGCCTTGCCCCATTCCCTTTCTTTTGTCCCAAGCAGGGCAATTCATTTAGTGATTCATTAGGACTAATAACAATATGTATGCATGCTACACAGAGTGAGCCATTTTGTTTCATAACAGATTGCAGATGAAAGGAAACCATTCATTTCTTCCCTGTCTGCTGTAATTACTAGTGCACTAATTACCCCAAATCACTGACATCCAGGGTCAGTAAGGATGGGAACAGGCACATCAAAGACGATTTCCACAAAAGCAAAGACAATGCCCCTCAACAAAGCCTCTTGGAAAAAGCAGCAATGTTTGTTTGGCTATTTTGTCCAACACCCCTCCCTTCCTTCCCTCATCTTTCTCTTTCTCTCTCCTTCCTTCTCTTTGATTGTCTGTTTTCGGGGGGTGAATACTTTCTGAATGTTGTTATTTTGTTTGCAGTTTGACGGGGAAAACATGTACATGAGCATGACAGAGCCGAGCCAGGACTTCATGCCAGCAAGCCAGGTGGGTTAATTAATCTTCACTGCCTTGTTTCAAGTTGTAATTAAACAAATTTAAAGGGATGCATTGCAAATTAGTGGTGCTATCAGTAGCTGCCATAATCAGGAGTAATTATAATTTATAAACAAAGCATTTAAGCCCAGTTTCAAGTTAATGAGATGGAGCTGATAAAGCACAGTGGTTGGCGGGTTGCTGAAAGATGCTGCAGCTTGTTTTTGTACTTGAGGGGAAAGGCAGATGCTAGGCCAATCTGATCCTTCCCAGCAGTTTTTCTTACCTTTAGGAGAAGCAGTCACTCTTAGCAGGTGCATCACCACGATGGTTCTTATCACAATGTGGTCACGTAACTTGATAAGTGTCCAACTTCTCCATTTATGCAAATGTCACTGGAGGTCTGCAGAAGCGAAAGCTGTGCACGTGTGTCCCTCAGGTGACCCAAGATGTTAAGAAAGAAGTACATCCTAGATGTCACAACAGATCTCTTTTATGTGAGAAGATCTGCACAATTTACTACCCTGGCAAGGCCAATGAGACTGGGTTGAGCCCGATTCACTCTATTGATTCCTGTACAGAGGGGGATATCAGTACAGGCAGTATTAAATTAATCGAAGTAGGGCCCCTAACAAGCTCTTAAAATTTTAAAAACGTAGATGTGGTTAAAAGTATAGTTGTTTAGGCTTTTTAAAACAAGCATTAAAACCTTACATTGCGTTTAAAGAATACATTTACTGTAATTAGAAATGTATCGGTAACATTTAGTAACTCTTGAAGGGAGATCTTGTGTACTGATTTGCATGTTCCAAAGAAAATAGTAGGTACAAAATATATTTTATTTAAAATTAAGTTTCTAAAAACATAGATAATTTATTAAAGATTACATAATTAATGATTATGTATGTATTGCTGGCACTGAAAAATCAGATGCATTTTTAAGTGCCAGCAATACGTTGTAATGTGTTTTTCCCTTGTGGTCCATTCTTCAGTAATAAAAAACTTCTCTATCTTGCATTTGAGCAGGACAGACTTATGGACAGCTGTACAATTTGTGTCTGACATGCCACAGCTGGTAGTTTCTATTATTGCATGCATGAATAATGTTACGCCAAAATTGTTTTCCTTTTGTGCAGTATGCATGTTCTCCCCCCATATTCATTTGGGTTAATGCCAGATTTACTGTTTTCTTTTTGCCCTGTGATGGGCTGGATGCTACAGAGATTCTTGCCAGCTTTCTAAAGATAAGACAAAACTAGATAAACATCTTTCTGTTGGTTGATTTTAGTTGGGTTTTACGGAGGCAACCATATATCTGCCACCACCATGAACTGAGAAAAGCTTGGGCTGTAGTGTGGGCTAGTGGTTAGGGCTTTAGATTTGTGACTGGAAGGTTGTGGCTTTAAATCCTAGGAAGGGGCACAACTATTGTACCCTTGAGCATGGAACTGAACTCATACTGCATCAGAAAAATGGGTGAGGATGTGTATCGCTCTGCTTAAAAGCATCAGCCTCGCTTAAAGTAATGTTATTGGAAATAAATAATCCCATAAGTAGCATCCTCACGGTATTTTTCTCCAGTGTTTATGGTGTGAATGCAGTATATCCAACTCTATTGTTCTTTACTTCCCAATCGTGTCTACTGTGAGGGACCATTAGAATATTATAGGTTTTAAAAGGTACACTTAGCCGTTAAGGCAAAAGAAAAAGTAACAAAAAAGAAAACTGCTGAAGTCCTCACAGACGAAAGCTCTTTTAAGGCGGTAATGTGATGTTTGAATACCAAAAATAACTTACAATATATCAAATGGCAGCATCTTTGTTTTTATAGTTCCATAATCCAATTAGATAAAGAGGGCCCCACCACCTCACAAAACTATAATTGCATAAACCAAGACATAAAATAAAAATAAAAAATTGTACTTTAAGAATGTGCAGTTAAAAAATAAAGACTGCTCTAAGTTTTGCGTTGTGGAAACTAAATCTCATGGTTTTCATTGCAATTTAACTGTATGGTGCATACCAGAGACATTTAATATGGTTCAACATAAACAGTTTAGTCTGGTTTTCTTTTATTTTTTTTCTTTAAGTGTTCTTCCAGTGCAAAGGCTTTACACACATTACATGCTTAAATATTATTTTACAGCTTGGGCTTAATGAAAAACAAATGTTAATTTATGTGAAAAAAAAAACACTAGCACTAGCTTTAATTTCACTTGTATTCTCTATCATTACAATCTCTATATTATTATATTTCATTTTAGATATTATATTATTTCCATGTACTATACACTACTGTATCCTTCATATATTTTATGATGTATACTGTTGGAATAAATATGATTTTGTAGAATGCACTAAATGGTTGAGAATGTGCATGAGCTCAGAAAATGGCAAATACTCTTGCACAGCTACAAGTTATCTATAACTGAGACAATCCTTTAGTGGTTCATTTTTAATATTTAAAAAGTAGATATTAATTTACAACTGCAACTGTCATCATGCAGATCAAGCAATTTTTTAATGCTTTTGCTGTTTCCATGCAGGTGTAATTAAACTACTGTTAGCAGGAAAACAATTGTTAAAACAACCTGGGTCAGAAGTGGTATGGTAAAAATGTAATTGTCTAAAAAGGATGAGTTAAAATAGTGAGAAATTCCAGGGGCTAAAAAAACATGTTCTACACTGAAAGCATTGCTAAGAAAGACATCGTGAGGAGAGATAGCAGGTCGTTTAAGGACTTGTGGAGATAGGCCGTACCCAATGAGTCAAATGAAAACTGTATTAATGTACTCTGTATATCTGCTGATTAAGTAATAGATTATTTCAGTCCCTTAAAAGCAAAACAAGAAATGCTGTGAATCTTATTATACTTTAGAAACAGGCAGGAATTTAGTCTGTTTATTATCTTCCTTGCTGTGTGTTATAAAACTAAGTACTGTACATTCCTAATGCCAAATGGATGCAGAACATGCTTTCTGTTGGGCTGTATCATGCATACGCCTTTTATTTGGTTTCTAGATTTTTTCTGTGTATATCCTCAGTTATTGAATGTCATAGGATATGTTGGGAAATGCGCTATCCTCTTTTTCATAATTCTTAGTTGATCCATTCACCTTACATTTCACTTCAGTTCCGTGTGCCTGACAGCCCCTCCCAGATGCAACAAAACTTGAAACAGACAGGACCCCAAGGGAAAAGAGATGTGCCATCTCAGGTGGATTATCCTCGACTATCCTGGGTAAATAACGTCTTAATTAAAAAAAATGTAAAACTTTCATGACTTTTGCATTATACAGATACATAATTTATTTCTTTGTGTGTTTATTGAACTCATGGCGAAAAATAATAGATCTGTCTATAGATCTCACTGTAGGTTTGTTGCCTTTTGTCTTTATATTCAGATTTTTATCTTAAGAGTGTATAGGCAAATTTAGTGTCAGGTTCAGCAAACGTAAGCTCATTTAGACCCCTTAAGGTCTTAAAGTGTGAGGTCTAATTGCATTTATTTGATACAGTGGAGATGCAAATTGAATCAGTGATTGCAGCTGCAAAGCAGCTGCAGCCTTTATACAGAATAAAGGGCCCCCATATAAGAGCTACTGTTAACAATGGATGTTAAAGTAGGGCTATTTGCTGGTATTGAAAGCAGCTGAATCATTTGCAAACTATAGTCTATTCAATTTTCACGCAAGTGACTCCTACCTAGTATTTTTTATGGCTTAGTTAGCTCTGATGCAGTGCAGTTATTTGTGGTGTTGCACAGTGATAGTTTTAAAAACTTTGAAAATGAATCCCAAACAACCATGTGTAAGCTCTAGTTAGGTGGCCTTTTGGGGCTGTTGCTCTCAGCCCAACTCATCATGTTTATTATAGAGGTAAAAATGTTTTTTTAGCCTTTTAAAATCCGTTTGTAATTTGTGTTGTTTTTTTTTTGTTATTCACTCTTCCCAGTACATTAATCAATAGGGGAAGCTACAGTACTTCTAATTACATTATTTCACTGCTGAAATGCCCAAGGGGGGAAACAATATTTATTCCATCAACTGAACAACCCCTGCTGTACTCCTGTTTCACAAAACACGCATCTGCATTGTTAGTTTTCCTGTTCTATTAATCTAGATTTAATTCCATAATATCATTTTCAGAATAAAACAATGTATTATTATTCATTTCTCAATTTGTGACCTTCTCAAGATATGTTAATGGAAACAGAGAAACTGTCTCCTGAAATACAGACTTACTAACGCATGTTCGTTAAGAGAATGCATCATTCTAAGACACATGCGCTGTTCTTCTAAAGTAATTTACTAGTAATTTAATTTGTTAGTTTCAGAGGAAAAGGTCCAGATTCCAAAACCTGTACAGTGTGAATGTCATGGTTCACAGTTAACACACATTACTGCCCAAATCTTTCACAATATATCAATATTTACACAAAATAACTTTTTTGCATTATTTGTATACAAAGTTTGGATAAGTTATAAACTGTTGAATATTATTAATCTCCGATAATTATTTATTAGCTCTTTAATTATTGGTAGTCTCCTATAAAAATTGTTCTTGGCCTTGTGATCCTATTCCGCACTAGGAATTCAAGTGGATTTTTTTGTTATATATATGCTTTGTTCATATTGCCTCATTAGAAGACTGTGACTACTTCTTTACTTCAGGGGGAAAAACAATGTATGCTGACAGTGTCACATCTGGCCTTCTTCACATGATTTGACAAAAATGAGTGAAGCAGTTATTGATATGAAAGCTCCAGAGTCATTGTTCACAGTAGGGACTTACAGGAAGATATAGCTATGTTTACATTTTGTTTATGGAATATTCAAGGAAAAAACTAACTTCCGTGATAACAATGAAAAATATGGTGCAGCACTTAACACTAATTGAGTGGCCTAAATTGATTGTGACCATTTCATAATACAGAAGCACAAATGCTTTTCAGGGACAGTATTGTGGCGATTAACTGAGTTGGTGTAGTTTTAACTTTTGCAAATAAATGCATGTTTTTGTGAAAAGCTGTGAGAATTTTCTCCAAATATTGAAGGTTTCAGTGACAATGCAAGAACATAATGAAGGTGGGTAGCTGCGTCAGCATGCGTAGGCTGCGAAGGAACAAGTAATAGGTTTGTTCCATGCTGAAAAAAAGAAGAAAGAAAACACAACGTTTCGGCCGTGGAGCCTTCTTGAGGTGTCAAGAACATAATGAATACTGCAAACAAGGAGAACATTCAGCTCATCCGGCTTGTTGATTGCTAGTAACTAATGGGTCTGAGGATCTCAACTCGATGCTTCTTTAAAGAAGAGAGAGTTTCTGCTTCTAAAAATCACCGGGGTTTGTTGCAGACTCCCACAGCACTTTGTGTAAAAAAGGAAGGAAAATCGTCAGAATAGAAATGGAAATTATCAGCCATTTATTGTCAGAATTATTTTTATGAATCACCTTGCATGCAAATGTGGAAAAGGGAGGGTTTTGATGGTATTGCCTTTCGTCATGGTAATGGAATCAACGTGCCAGTTAACCCTATGAATGAATCGGAAAAATTAGACAGTGACACGCCTTACCGCCATAGCAAAACAGATGGTAGGTTTCAGGAATAATCCACTTTTGCCTTTTGTTTGACCATCATTTGACACAGTTCCCTCAATGCAAAATATTGTGCTGAAAAAATCAAAGTACATTTTCTAAACTTTTTGACAAAAAAAAGTTAACTCCACAGCAAATATTCTAATGGATGGCATATCCAAAGATTTGTTTGAATTAGGTATCCAGACAGATCAAAAATCAGTTTTAGCAGTAAAGAATGGACATAAGTTGCCTACCATTAGAATAAAAAGTGTTCCTGAAAGTTTCTTTTTTTAATGATTAAATGGCTTGTTAAACTAATGGCTACAATGTCCATCGTTTTGTAAAAGTACTGACACTATCAGCACCTGTGCTATACTAGTTGAGAAAAACTATAAAAGTACGTATGGATCTAAAATCTGATTTTGTAAGTAATTTAAATCACGCAGCCATTGAAGAAAGACTCTGTTGAAGTTTTCTCTTTCCAAAAATCTTGCATTCTTTCTCCAGATAAAAGAATGTGTAACCCAGTTAACTACAGCTGTTAATTAAAACAAGATATTGTAGAACATTTCCAGCAGTTTCAGTATATTGAGCTTTCAGAATAGCTTGCAGCTGCACTTCTCTTAAACTTGCATCATTTGGATGTGTTAGTTAACTTCTATTATTATATGTGTGGTTAAACAGTCCTCCTACCCTGTATGCAGCTATTACAACATAACTGGTGACATTATCCAATGACCAGAGTGAGCTGAGTCAGGAAGAGATCTCCATTTTCATCAGTCTGAAAAACAGCTGAGCTTGCAAGACACTGAGCATCCCTATCTAGTTCAAATCAGCATTTTCAATTTTCTTCATGAACTATTGTGAATTCCTTCAAGTTGTCAAATGCCATTCAAGATGATTAAATTGGCAAGATAAAGTTGAATAGCCCTGAAATGTTTCCCAAATTTAACATGGCATACATTTGTTGCCGGTAAATGAATTCACAATTAAAACACTATCGTACTTTGCCTGATTGTCCATTTCACATAAAACAATTAGTCAGATCAAATCGTCGGAATTCCACCTTTAAAAGAATAAATATCCTCCTTTGAAAATCACCAGGGAGCAGGTAGTTAAGAGAAAATTAATTTCATTGCCATTGGAAAATATACTGTAGCTGTCATGGCATGATATGCCTTCATTTGCTGTAACCTTTAGTTTTGTTTAATGCAACACCCGACATCACCTTGACCTCTTTCACTAATCGGTTGTCAAAAACAAAATATTACTTTATCACGGAATTCATTAAGGCAAAGGCCTGCTGTTGAATACAAATGTTAAGCTTGTCTTAAAAAGGTAGGGATAATTATATATTCTAAAATCTGCTAATGCAAAATATCAGAATCAGTGTAAATGTGCTGGAGAAAACTTGTTCAGCTTTATACAGGAGAGAATATCATGGTTGTGTTAGTTGTAATCTTCTTGAATGATTTCTCTAATGCCTTAGTTGCTTTGGTAAATGCCTGTGTTATATAGAAAATTAACTTCAGTGTTGATCTGTGGGAGTTTTTCTGTATTTGTTTAAGCGTTATATTAGCAATAAAGCAATCTAAATCCTAGGCCTTTTACAGACGGCATTGAAACATTAAACATGGTGCCTCTTGGGTTTAATTATTGCAGGGCAGAGAGAAATGACATTTGCAACACCTGTTTCCAACTTGCTTTCTTTTTCTCCCTGAGATTACAGTTATTGTTGTTTGTATCCTCGGGACTTTTTGATTAAAACGACACAAGATTTCTAGCAAAAGCAATTGAGGCATGCATGTGTAATCACACGGGATGAAAAACATCTTTTTCTCTCTTTGATTTCCACTGTTGTTTCACAACCCAGGGGAATGTAGGTGATTTGGCACGAAGCAGTAAGGAGTAGGTTGAATGTGAAGTCATTCAGGATCATCTTGCTTTGAGAAAAAAACCTAAATCAGGGGCAAACAGGTGTTCTCCCTGTAGGGGGCATGTGCCTAAATGGTTCAGTGAGCAAGCTAGGAATCCAGGTAGAAATCAATGCAAGCGCCCCTTCATGATAATACAGCTTGTATCAAAGGCGTAATAGAAGACTTGTTTCTCCATGCATATAGTGAAGGACAGACCATGTGTGACTTGAATTAGAGTTGATGTTTTGAGGTGTGACTTCTTATGCATCTGTTAGAACGGTTGGGTACTGATGATGCTGACTTGTCAAGTGGCTCAGAAGGTAACGGTTTTAAAAATTGCAAGAAGGGCACCTTTAAATATTGGTTGAAGTGGAAGAAATCACAGGACCCATGAACAGCTGTTTTTTAAACAATACTGATCCGTTTAAAAGTTTAAAAACGTCGCTAATCCAAGGTATATGAAAGGAGGCACTATTATTTACAAAACTAGTGTTAAAGAGCAATAAGTGTCCCTGTAATTTGTCTCACAGTAGTGTAAGAAGCTATTTAGACAATGGGATATTAGATATGTTGAATTTACTTTCTTTTTAAATTGCATCTATCTTTTTTTTACATTTTGGGATTATGTAATTACATTCAATTTTCAAGAATAAAAACTCTGCAATTGGTATAGTTAATCATTTTGACTTTAGTTTGGATCAGGATATTTCTTGGTCTCAAAAGAAAACTGGCCCTGCGGCAGTTGAT